TCAGGTTGGCGGGGCATATCATCAGAACAGACAGAAATGACCCCCTGCGACAAGTGAGCCATGTACCAGCTTTTGCTACTCATTACCCAGTAAAGAAAAGACGAATAGGGGGACCCTGCCAGCAATGGCTCAAGTAGCGAATAAGCACAATTGGGAGAACGGCAGTATACCGTCACTCCTTATGAGAACACAGTCCAGCAAAATGCAGAAATCTTGCACACGCTAGCAACTGCCATTTTTAAAGCTGCTACCCACGTGCCAAAGGTCTCACCCCAAAGTCACAATTCAAGGCAAGAGACTATGGCTTCAAAGAAAAAAGCTAAGCAAGGCAGAACCGAGAGATTTAGTTATCTCACTTTGAAACGTGACTCGGCACAATCGGCATCTGAGGCAAGCCAGCATAGTTTCGCTCGCAAGCGTCGTCGCGGCGCGCTAAGGGCTGACCCTTCCCGTCCTATTGTATTTCAAGAGGGTCAACATGTTTGCTCTGTGCGAAGGCACGTAGCTGACGTAGCTAGCAAATGTCAGCTTTGCTTGGCAACGAATCTCGCCGTGGATTTGCGCCCTGAAGCCTGACTGCGGAAGCTTCCTGTGCTAGTCGCGAGGCCAGTGGGGCAGGCCGTCGGTGGCAGGCATTTGGGCTGAGTTTTGGCGCGTTTCAAAGCCAAAGGGTTGAATCTTCGGGCGCAGATTCCAATGGTTTACAATCTGGGTGCTGCGGGCTGCCAGAGCTGCCGTGGGATGTCTATGCAAAAACAGAAAACAGACAAACACGTGCAGAAAGAGTTGTGTGTGGAACTCTGGCAGGCATTCCGTCAATGAGCCATAGGTCAGCCAATGCGTTTACGAGCCTTCCAAGACTGGCACAGGCGGCGAACCTCGTTGTCACATCATGCCGTTCAAGTGCACTTGGGCTTTTCCATTCGAAGATAGTATGCTCTCGAAGTCGTGGCCAGCTGCTACCACTGAGTTCAAGTTGGAAACCTTAGGCAGCACCCTGCAACACGCAAATCGCGGCCTGCGGCAACTTAGCGCTGTGGCAGCCGAGCTTGCTCAGCCTGCAGGAAGGGAGCTGTGTGCGTTTCAAGCTTGTCCATCGATGCACATGTTACGTCGCAGTCACAGTCCTGCAGGAATCCCAAAGTCCTAGAGATCCTAGACAGCATACTGCTGCATACTGGCACTTGAATCTGAAGACCGTCATGCACCGTGCCGTGGATATGGATTTGATGGTCTGCTCCAGGAGCTCTGCTGGAACACAATTCGGGCCAATGTAGCTTGGCTTGTGCCATGGGTTTGCTACTATGTCTTGATCTCTTTTGTCCCAGCACACCCTACCACCCACTTCAAAAGCATCCAATGGCATGAGCCAGCTCATAAGACACAGGCAAAGTTCTCACTGGGGTTAGAGTCATTCTGCCAGCTCCGAAAAACAGAGCAAATAGGTTGCAGGCCATAGCCTGCAAGGCTACTAGCTTAGTCATTCGTAGTCATGAAGTAGTAGTAGTAGTAGTCGTCGTCGTCGTCGTCGTCGTCGTCGTCGTCGTCGCAGTAGTAGTCCTGATGGGAGAACCAGTGGCGCTCACTTGTCAAGCGCACCAACTGCCGGCAGTCCAACAGTCCGAGCATCAAAAAAAAGTAGGAAGAGGAACACGGCGCGTATTCACCTTTTGTATTTTTTTTTCATGACGCTTGGTTGCGGTCGTAGTCGTTGTAACATAGTAGGAGGAATAGGAGGAGCAAGAGGAGTGGGAGGGGTAGGAGTAAGATTCGCGAATTGGGTTCCCATTTCCGTCCTTGGATGCGCTTTTTCCTGTTAGGGCACATTATCAAGCTTTTCAAGCCGCTTAACGCGTCCTAAATTGCGATGAGACTCTGCAAGACCAGCCTCGGACCATGGTGGAGCGAAGAACGGCTGGTTGGAGAAGCATGAGAAGCAGATAGAAACAGAGCAGTAGAGACCCCATCGGCCACGCATCCACTTCAGGCCATCACCATCAACTCCTGCATTGCTGCTTGCGGAAATGCCGAGAAATGGCAGCAGGCTCGCAGTTCCGGATAGTCCCTGTGTAACGCGTGTAACGTTAATTGCTTCCGTTTGAGATTCTCTTCCATTCTGGGGACGACTCAAGGGGCTTAGCCACTGCAGTAGCTCTTGATGTGTGCAAACAACGTTGATGACTCAAGCTTGCTGTGCAGGTTCAGGACCGTACTGGGCCCATAATAGAAACGGAATGGAAGCTACTGATTAAAGGGTTATATAGGGATTGTGAAGATCAAGACAAAGGCGAGTTGGGTAGAGACACAACTTGCAGATACTCCTTTGCGTGACCGGCTTTGTCAGACCTTGACGCTCTTCGCATTTGCAGACGTGAGAAACACTGTGGAAGCCTCTTTGCTGAATTTATGCCGGTCTCATACATGGACGTGATTTAAAGAGTACAGTGATGCAGTGGTGGTATTGACGTGGATGTTAATGTGGTTGTTGATAAGGATGCTGCAAAGAGACGGGCAAAAGCACGGACATTCTGTACCCATTGCTCTATGCTAGATGCCCTGAACACCTGTCGCGAACACTTGTTCAAGGCAGATCTCATTACCTTCAACTCCATTCTCAGCGCTTGTGCTGGGAATGATGCGCCTCATCTTCAGCAAGATTTGTGTCTTGAACATTCTTGTCTTGTACAGGTAACTTGTCAGATGGCATCTGAGGCCTGGCAGATCGCGCTGGGAGTCTTTCAGCAACTCTGTTCGCAGCACCGGCCAGATCTTGTCTCCTACAATGCTGCGCCCAGGCTCAAGCAGGGATTGTCAGGGACTTGAGGGCGCTGGCGGGTGGCAAAAAACATCCCGCACAAAAAGCTATCACACGATCTTCGGTGAAGTCCAAAACTTCACAGTAAGCCAAGCCATCATATGCACTGAGCCCTTGACAGTTGTCGGCCGACATTTTGCTGCAACAGATTCCTCGCTTTTTGCAAGCGCGCACATCCAAGCTGCTGTGTGAGTCAGCTGAGGCTTGCCAAACTTATCATCCCTCTGAGTTTGCTTAATATTGATGACCCCGCTTTGGGCCCTCGTCACCTGAAGTCATGGCAACTAGGGTCCCTCATGTGGGTGGTTGTCAGTTTTCAGGGCCCCCAAGATGCACAGAGCATCAGTCAGGGTCGTGCCATGCAACGCTCCACATGAAGGGCTTTGCTTGAATAGCTGCCTATGCACTTCTGTTGATGGTCAACACATACACTCCAGATGCTAGTATATTTTTTTCTCAGATTCCTCGCTATTGTTCATTATGAACTTAGGTGATCGCGTCTCTGGCACCTTCTGGACGGTGGCGCTTGGCGCTGGCTTTGGCGGCCGAGCTCCCGATGCTGCGCTTGCGCGGGAATCGGTAGCTGGGACAGGTTTATCTGGAGAATGACAAGCATGAAAGGCTCATTTTGTAAAACCGGCAGATGAACAGTTTCAATATCAGCACTAATCTTGGCCAGCCGAGAAACAGCACTCTATGATAGTTAGGTGCAGCTGCTTACATTGAGTGGTCCAGCGGGATAAGTGACCTCTAGGACGTGATTGTCCATCCCAATGACTGCCTGCTTCTGCGACCGCTGGAGTTTCAGGATCACTTACAGCTCTTTGGCGAGTGTATGTGGTCGAGTTCATGAGTGGCAATTGGCGAGCTCTCTCCTCCAGCAGCAGCTTTTCGATACGAGCCTCTCATGCTGCAACCCGGGAAGGGATGTGATTCGTTGCCAGTTATCTCAAGAGTTCTCCATGACACGCGTACTAAATGCTGCAACACCTTCTGCAAAATTCGATAAGATCTATAAGTCAGCAGCGCTGCTTCAAACTTGTACAAGCTCACGGCTTTTCGTTCATTCAGACGGTGCTGCATCATCTTGTGCCCTTGTTGGTTGTTGCGACAGCACGAGTCCTGTTGAAGAGGTTTACGACATGGTTCCGAGCTTCTGGGAGACGTTATCTTGTATAGCAGTGCTGCCAGGCAGCAGCTCAGTTGCGTCCTGCTACTGTAGAGACTGCTATGACTACTACGTGAGTCTTCGCAAAGGTCATTTCAGCCTGTGAGCTCGCCGGCGTGGCTCTCAGCACTTCATGTCTGACATGATTGCTTCAAATTCAGCTCACTAGATGTGGACGTTATGCAGACACCTCAGGACGGCAACGGCCCCTGCAGCCCATGCTGCGCGACTTGGAAGGGTTGGGCCTTGGTCTCCTGCGGGAAAACAACATGTCTTCTCGCAAGCTGGACTTCAGCAGCATTGAATACCTCCTAATTCCAGAGTTTGCACACATGTGAACCTGTGCTTGTGAGCAGTGCTTGACGGAGCCGGCTTTCCTGTGCCCAAGAATAAACATCCGTTTATCCAAACTTGCATTTGTCAAGGATGAGGGCCTTCAAGTCAGCTTCACATTCTGCAATGAGCCTCTTCTGATGCCTGTCACCTAGATACAGGGAGGCAAGACACTGTAACGTGAACTCAGTGACTGTAGTCTGTAGAGATCCTCCCCAAAGGGGAGAGATCATCACTTTCTAAAGTAGCAAGCCATGGGAGCTTGCTGTTTTCATCCGCGCGCAACTTGTCAACAAATTTGCGTTCATTTTCTGCGTGGTGCCTGAAGTCTCAGTTGCCGTTGCCCAACACCTCCAGAACGGAGACAGTGACCGAGGCACCGACCGAGGATGACTCGAGTTTGCACAAGCAGCTGGGGCAAATGTGGGTTGTGAATCTTGGCCTTTAATGGCAGCTATGTGTGGTAGGTGAGTACTGAGTAGCTGCTTGATTTTGCCCGGCAGAGGCTCACCGGCTCACCTCATGCAGGGTTCAGAATCTCATGAAATGCCCTGGACTCGTCCGTTGTAGCGGCTTTACCTGTCATGTCAAACCTTCTGTCAATGCAAAAGTCGGCAAGGGCCGTAAGAGTGCAATGTCCTGGAGCGACTTGCTTTGCTGAGGAAGGTGAGCGATGTGCTGCAGATGCGTGGCATCCCGAAGTGTCCGCCTGCCAGCCCATTCTGTATTTGATCTGAAAGATCAATTTGGAATTTGCACCGAAATGGTCTTCCACCCGCAGGTCACCAGGAGCTCATGCAGGCAAATCTCTTGGTCAAACATGATCCAAGCTTCCTCACAATCTTCGCCAATGCCTCAGCTTCATGTCCCAAGACCTCCCAAGAAGGAATGAGTAACCTGTGTGAGCTGCACGCCGAGGTTTCGCATCAGTGGTTGGGCAGCACCTTGGATTGCAGTCTCAAACTGCACCATTGTGATGTGGACCTGAGATGTCTAACTTCAGTTCCTGTGCGGGATGCAGTCAGCCAGTTCTTGATCGCGTGCAGCTTGAACACAAATAAGATACTCATCCGGATCAACGTGGATATCAATTTCGTATCTTCCAGAAGGCCTTGAGGAACGTGCTTGACGGAAAGATCAAACTCGAACTGGAGACCTGGCCAAATTTTGGCCGCATATTCGCTTGAAAAGAAGGAAAAGATCGCAGCCCTTGGCTGTGTCGGAGAAGCGATTTTAAGCAACTGGGCTTCAGGGCCATCTTCTTGAGGACCTCGGAGCACGAGGCCTAACCCTCTCCCCCTAATATTAAAGATGCCCCGCCCCCCCCGCCTTATATCAACTACTCCCACTGTGGTATATTTCAATATATTGGGAACATGTAACATTAGGAGGTTGGGAGGTGGCTTTATATTAGGGGGAGGGGATTAGCGTGCCAGAAGCCCTCGAAGAGCCAAGGACGCCACCTCACAGTTCTTCGGCCACATGAAGACCCTCACAGCCGAATATCGAAAGAAGCTTCAAGAAGCGACCTGTCTTTCTGGTAGGCTAATGGGCGCTTTCCAGGGAAGGTGGGGGAAATGACGCTGAACCATAGCCCATTTGCATCATGTCCCTTCTTGCTTGTCGTCTCAGGCATACGTTTGGCTGGACTGGTTCTGTGTGCCACAGACGGAGTTTGAGACAGACCCTGCGGCTCGCGAGAGAATTCGGGCAGAAGCTAGATTCTTGGCAAGCATTGGCCTTCAAGTCGGTGTTGCGGCGTTTGTTTTCTTTTTGACTGCGAGCTTCCTTTCCATTCCTTCAGATTGAATGCAAAGAAGGTCTATGCATCGCCTCCATCCCGGCATACGTGGAGGCATGCCAGCCGCTTGGCTGAAATTCCACGCGGCCAGTCCAGAATGCCTTCTGGCCAGAGACCCACCTCAGGATCTTCGCCGCGTTGGTGCCAAAAATGATGCATAACGCCACCCAGGAGTTTTGCAGCTACTTCACTTGGCTGAGCCTTGCCAAAAGGACAGCTTCAGCGGAGTTGCGTCCTGGAGCACATGTTGTCTCTCAGTTTGCTCGGTCTGGAGAGGATGCTGCTTTGGTCTCCAGTCTTCCAGGTTATCTTGTGCAGTGCGTTTCTTGCATCTGCAACTTGCAGATTCAAATGCATGTCCAAGTCTCCCAGATAAGTTTTGCAAGGAATCGAGGATGGTGCCGTGCGGAGATGTGGTGCAAGCTGCTCTCAGACCGGTCCGACATCCCAATCGTGGCTCCCCGTTTGCAATTACGATTGCAACCACATATTGCAAGAGCGGCAAGCTACGGCTTCTGTGACGATAACACTACTGGGCCTGTGGTAGGGACCTTCGGGCTTGCTTGAGAGATTTGAATTGAGATCCTCTGTGGGATCTGCATGAAGAAGCAGGAGTCACACATTGGCGTAGAAACGTAGCTCCTCCACGTCCTTGTCCTCGCTTATCTAAGCCTTGCCTGCAAAGTCCATGATCCAAAACAACAACCGCCCGTTGACAAGAACAAGTTGAGAAACACCTGCTATCATCGTGTACTTGCCCTCACGCGTGCTGCGTTTTCAGTCCATCCTAGAAATAGCATTGTAAGACAGGGACACTTGTAGAGTAAGATCATGTTCTCCCTCTGGTTGTTGTGTTTGCAATTTCTAAGAGGAGCATCTAATCTTACTTGGTTCAGTCACCGAACAAAGTCTTCAAACGGGCTCCAAGACTAAGGTCATAACCTCTGTGGATCAAGCGGAGTTTGCCATGCCCATGCAGTGGCTCAAATCTCCGGTCCATCAGGTTCTGGGGTGTTGCGATTTCATAGGGAACGTGCTTGCAACCTAGCTCCTATCCCAAAAATCCTGACAAAGCTTCATCTCTTATGATCCTTGATCGTGACCATCTATAAGATGTCTAGAGTCTAGATGATGCCCAAGGTTGTCACAGTTCAAGGGACTGCTTAAGCCATTTCGAGATTCTGCAGGTTTCCTGAGAGGATCCTACAATACACAGTACGTCGCCAGGGAGGCTTGTTCACGAACGACTCTTGCATTACTGGGGATGCCTGAAGGAAGTGTCGTGGAGCACATGTTCCGCTGGAATGCTGGGGACAAACCATGAAGCACGTAGGAGGTACGTATGTTGAAGCTTGCGTTGGAAGCCTTGCGGAGGTATTCATGGATTCTACATTTCATTGATCGACTCAGGTACAGTACTTGACTGGGAACGAACGATGCGATGTATACCTAGGTAGATTATGCAATGTACATACGCGCCTCCTTCCCGGTGTATATGACTATGACCTGCTAATCTTTGGATGCCAGGCCAGTTGCAAGCGAGGGTCGCCTTTCCCCAAAACATCATTCGGCCAACTGCCATCGTGATTACACCAGCCCCACAATCCGACCAAAGTGGAGTGCACCAGGCTGCTCATGTTGCACCGTTTCATTGAGAAAGGATAATTTTTGTTGGGGATTTACTCGTATGGCCTTGTCATGCAGACGTTTTGTAAATGGGTGCTTTGCATGTCAGGGCACTTTCTCGCTCGACAAGGACAGAGTTGCCGCTCGCCTTAATTGTTTTGTTTTTGGGTGCGGAGGGTTTCCCAGCATCAGCATTCTAGCCCATCTTGGGTATGCCCTTTCGAGCCCTCAGTTTTGGGGCTTTCAAGTACCAACATTTCATAGACTGGATCGGATCTTGCAGGCATGTTGGGGATTTCCGTCCATGAGGTAAAAACTATGCTGGCTTAAGCTGTGCAGTTTCTTGCTCAGGCCGTGTGCAATTTCATCCAGGAGGCCTTAGATTTTAAGCTGGCGAGGCTTTCCAAACAGAAGAACCTGGACACTTGGCCTGCTGTAGTTGGGGGGGTGCCTGAGTGCTTTTGAGTGTTGGTGTTTGGATGTGTTTGGGGTTTAGGGCTTGGGATTTTATGAGATTCACGCCCGAAGGTGCACAGTGGCCGTGCAAGTGATTCGTGGTCACCTGTGGGTCTCAGGACATCTACCGCTACTTTGCTGCTAGATATACAGACTTCCTTGGCTTGCCCAAGAAGCGGAGGCGGGGCAGACCTGCATCGGAATCAGATTTTCAGATGTTGTTGACACCTGTTTGCCTGCATGCGCCTGGCAGGAGCGTTGAGGAATTTCTCAGCTACTTCCGTTTTCCGTCAATGGAGGCAGCACATATCAGGAACAATTATGGAGAATCTTGCCTCAGACTGTCGAAAAGGGGCGGTGGAGGTACACCTGAGGCCAAAGTCGGATTGTAGGCTGCCTTCCAGCTCACTAAGCATGCAAGTAAAACTCCCTGCGCAGGCAGCGGTGCGGCAGAAGAAGGGCATGGGCGTGTCCTAGTCGCAGACTTCATGTTCTGAGCCGCTGACTCCACTGAGGGCTTCAGAAACTGTGCGTGCGGGCATGCCCTGCTGGAACCCGTGTTTTGTTTTTGCTGTTTGGTCTTTTTTGTTGTTGGGCCCCTTAAAGCCGAGCCAGGCAGACCGGTAAGTGAGTGAACTCCCGTCCACTGCCCAAACAGCAAACAAAAACAGCACGCCGTCCGCCCAAACAGCAAAAAATGAAACAACACCTCCCCAAACAGCAAAAATAATAAACACGCCATCCCGGCCCGCCCAAAGAGTTAAACAAAATCAACACCCCGCCCGTTAAGCAAAAAAAAGCACCGTCCTCTCCCCGCCCGCCCAACAGCACAAAAACAAACACCCCTCCCCGCCCAAACAGCAAAAAATACGCACCCTTTCCGGCCCGCCATGTTTTTTTGGGAGGGGATGTGCTTTCTTTTTGCTGTTTGGGCGGGGGCCGCGGTCGCGCCCAAACAGCAAAAAAAAAGCCACCGCCCAAACAGAACAAGAAAGACCCGAAAAGCCCAAACAACAAAAAAGCCCAAACAAAAAAATTGACCAGACAACAAAACAGTAAACACTCCTACCATGCCCTGTTTGTCCTGTGTTGTCACCACGAGCAGGCAATCTGACGGAGACCTTATTCTTTCGCAACGATTTCGAGATGTGGTCATGTCAACCCTGTAGCATCTGATATCCCTGCAGCTTTTGCAGAGTGATGAGGCCATGGCTTGTGCTGCCCTCAGCGGAGACGCTGGTTTGCTCCGGCAGCTTGCAGAGGCTTCAGTCGGTTGACTGCTGGAAGTTGTTGCCCCCTCGGCTTCCTCCACCTCATCGCCTCCGCCTCAACTAGCATAAGCGCAAGTGGCAGGAGGTCTGCGCCAGGAATCTTCAAGATTAAGGTGCAAGTTGCAGTTGCGTTTTGTGGGCACCTGCAGATCTATCCGCTTTTTGCTGCAAACGATTGGCACGACGTGCTTGGAAGGCGGGCGCTCCTATGAATACGAAGCTGCGCGAGATCTCAGAGCTTGATGTTCTACCGGACTGGCTTCTTTCGGGGATTGCAGCACAGGCTGCGACTTGCGTTGAGGGAGGTTGCCGTACTTTGGCCAGTCCCAAATATCAGTGTTTGGGCAAGTCCCGCTCGCAGCTGCATTCGCACTGTACATGGCTACTCCCGGATAGAAGACCCCGCAAATATCACCGCTGACTTTCTGGGGCTTCATGAATAGAGTCTTCAGAACTCATTTGTTCAAGCCTGCTGAGAAGACCCCAACGTTCTGAGCTAGTTTCACATCTGAATCAGGTTAAACGCACGTAGACTTCAGGCCCCCAGTTTTGCAAAGTGTGAAGCTACAGCAGGACTGGACACCATTGCATCTGGCGGCCGTACGTCGTGACGAGGATGCCGAGGCCATTGCAGGGGCTCTTTGCGAAAAGCAAGAAGATTATGCTTAACTGGTGGTGATCCACTCCCCCACTCCGCTTCAAGCTCCAATACGTCCAAGGTTGGGATGTTCTTTACCTAAACTCGCCATCCAGTTCTTAATTTTTTTAATATGTAGTACCAAAAATGGCAGGGCACCACGTCTTTTGGAGCTGAACAACTGGAACCCAAAACTTGCGCAACTACGCACCTTTCCAGCCCGGATTCCCTTCATCCCGCCTACTTTCATCCTCCCTTCATTTTACCTTCATCCCATCTTCATCCTACCTTGGGAGCCCCTATACCTTAAACCCTAAATTTGAAAACCCTGAACCCTAAAACCTGGGAGCCCCATGAGGCTGTCTCAGCGCTGTTGGAGCTTCGCAGCCTGGCTTGTCATGGCCAGATGGCAACATGTAATGTTATATTGGGGCTATATTGGGATAATGGAATATCAAATGAAAAAGAAAGGGGAAAATCAAAATGGAAACTGGGGTTATTATGGGTTATATAATGTAGTCCGTGGTAGTGACTACCTTGCTGATTCTTAGTAGGGAATGAGCGAACAAGTTCTATGCGGGTACGTAGAGATAGAAATGGAAACTACTACATTAGGGTAGGTATTGGGGTTATAGCAGGGAATATTGGAAAGCTTTATATAGGGGCTATATAGGGAAGATCTTCCTTCATTTCCTACTAAGAACCAGAAAGCTACGGTGTCCTGCTTTTTGTTTTAAGTTTTTTGTTGTGAGCCGTACCTAGCCTGCGAAGTACCAGAATCAGATGATGAGCTCCTGCATCACTATCACAGAAGCCTGCAACATACTGTAAATCTGACAGCCTGCAACAACCCTAGACCCTAAACCCTAAACCTAAGGCATGTAACATACCCTAAACCCCACAAATCCCTAAACCTTAAACTCTTCGAGCCCTCATGCTCGTACCTGCGATGAGCCTTGACACCCATCCTGCCAAAGGAGCGGATCCACACTACGTGAACAAACTGGGGCACGCCATTCTTGGGACCTGCGAGCCCTACCTGGACTTGAAGTAGGGGGTAGTCAGGGTTTAGGGTTCAGGGTGTAGGGTTTAGGGGTTAGGGTGTGTGGCCTAGGGTTTAGGGTTTAATTTAGGGTTCAGGGTATAGGGTTCAGGGTTCAGGGTTTGGGGTGTAGGGTCTAGGGTTCAGGGTTTAGGTTTCAGGGTCTAGGGTTTAAGGTTTAATTTAGGGTTTAGGGTCTAGGGTCTAGGGTTTAGGGTTTAGGGTTTAGTGGGGCATATTGGGGTTGTACTAAGGGATGATGGGAAGAAAATGGAAACTACTATATGACTACTGGGTATATGCGAGGGTCATAGTAAGGGGCTACTGGTATTTTAATAGGGTATCTAGAGCTGTGGGCGCGAAGTGTTTCTTGCCAGAGGTAGCTTAGACTGTTCATGATGATGCCAAGGAGAGTGCTCGCGCTGTGGAACTACTTGCAACCTGGTTAAGATTATCTAGGGGTCATATGGTTGTCATATAGGGGTTATATAGCATTATATAGCATTATATAGCATTATATAGGATTATATAGGGTAATATAGGGTAATATTGGGGTTATGTTGGGGTTAATTTGAAACTACCAATCTGGATTGTTTCTGTGAATTGAAGTACACCTGATGGGCAAGCTTACTCATTACGCCCAGGACTAGATCCCATGCCTCTAGACTCTAAACCCTCCTGCCCCTCTCCTGTGGCGGCACTCCATGCACTCCAGGTGCAAGCCGGTGCCAGCATCAATCAGATGAAGCCGCTCACCATGTGCACCCCTCTGACTCTGGCAGCTCAGATCAATTTGCGCAACCTGTCCAGCGCAGTCAGCCAAAGATTGAATCCTACGCCACAATCGCAACCGCGTCCGAGCTTGTCTGCTGAAACCCCGTCTGCATTGCCCGTAAATTGCCTGGGCTTAATACTGCCTGTCAAGGCTTGTCTTCGCTGCCCCGAGCCGGATGTGATTGCCAAGCTTCTACAGCTGCGGGCTGACGTGAACCTTACTAAAGGCTGGGTTTTATAGTCGTCTATTGCGTTTCACAGGGCTGCTGCTCACGGTGCTGGGCGTTTTTGATAGCCTGAATCCCAAAACATGGGCCATGGATGGATCTAGGCTTCTCCTTTCCCTCAAGCCTCTCTAGGGTTGAGTTCTCGTTCAGTTCTTCCATATTATTGAAACAACGGGCGCGCGATGTCGGACCTTCCAAAGACTGAAGAGGGAGCGAACCGAGGGAGGGCAACACAGTGGAGCACGATGGGGAGGAAGGGCAGTGGTGGAAGAGCGACTGAGGAGGAGCGGGGAAGGAGGGGTGGTGTTATTCGAATATATTCGAAGAAAGGAAGGCTAGCAGCGCAGGTTGAGATTGGGGAGCAGTGGGGGAGGAAAGGCAGCGGTGGGAAATAGCAAGGGAGGAAATGGAGCAGGAGGGAGGCCAGCGAGGGAGAGCAATACCGGGGGGAGGAGCAGGGGCGGAAGGGCAGCGTTCGGAATTTCAGTTATGCAGCATTGCATGCGGCTGGGCCATCTGAGTGCTTTTGGACTATGAAGCCGTGAGTGCTCGTAGCCGGAGGCAAGAGGCAATACGTACTCTCAATCACTATCGATGTTTTGGTTCACAGTGGCCTCTATAGGTTTGTTTTGGGGTTCCCGGCTGCAGGCCGCAGGACCTCGTGTGTAAAGTCGCTACCATTGCGATGTGTCTACTTCTCGGTCCTCAAGAACGTGCCTGAAGATACGGCCTGACATCATCTAGCTGGTTAAGCTCCAAAAAACGATTTCTCTGCATTGCGACATGTCTTGAAGGCGGCATTGGCCTGACTCCGCTCCACTCCCTGGCAATTTACTCTCACGGGAATCCTCACTCATTGCCCCTCGGCCAGAATTATGGCAGAAAAAATCATGGTGCGCGGACATAGGAAACTATTGTCAGTATGAGGGCGTGCAGGGACCATTGAGGGTGGACACAGAGGGACCCCTTGGTAGCTTTGTGCAGTCCGGCCCTAAGATATCCCTCCACAAGGACCCGTATGCATTAAGATGTATGAGCTGTAGTCTAAGCTGCTTAACGGGGGATTTATAGGTGATTCTATAGGGGATAGCCTTATAAGGCGAAGAGTGATTAAGGTGGATACTAGGGGCTCAGACTATAGCTCACATGGGACATATCGACTGCAGCTCCTGCAAGGGCTGTGGCTGAAATGCTGATTGAAGCCCGGGCAGAGCTCAACCGCGGAGCGCAGGCGGGCCCACGCTGCCCTATTATACTGGGTTGCTGTTAAGGAACTGAATTTCTGTTACTATATTGGGGAAACCCTATTATTTACCATATATACCCATTATGGTAACTTAATTTAAGTTTCTTAACAGCAAGCCAGTATACTATTGTAGTTTCCAATTTCTTTTCCATTATCCCTATATAACCCCAATGTATACCCTACAATCTTACTGGTTTTAATTTGCTTTTCCATGATTTGTTTCTTGCACCTGTACATACGCTGTAATATTACATAGTAGGTTCCATTTTCTTTTCCATTATCCCTTACTATATCCTAGCATATACCCAATAATCTTAGATAGTGGTTTCCATCTGCTTTTCCATTCTCCCTGTAATTATTGCCCCTGTATATATCCTATAATCTTATATAGTAGTTTCCGCTTTCTTTGCCATTATCCCTTTATTACCCTTGTATATACCCAATAATCTCATATAGTAAGGTTTCCATTTTCTTTTCCATTATCGTGTAAAATAATATAATATACATATATATACACCCCAAAATCTTAGATAGTAGTTTCCGTTTTCTCTTCCACTTTCCCTATAATGTAACCCGGAAATATTCCCTTAATCCCTAACTCCAAAGCCCTAAACCCTAAATCCTAAAACCCTGAACCCTAAACCTGTTGGGCGCCAGGTTGGTCCACTGTTTCGTGCGATTGAGCTCGCCTGCCGGCTGGTGGTACGGCTTCGCAAGGACGCGTAATGGTAATGGGAATAGAACTAGTGCTAGAAATCGTAACAGTTAGACATAGTAATAGAAACCGCACTAGTAATAGTAATAGCAATAGTCGCAGTAACCGTTATAGTTAGTAAAAGTAATAGTAACCGCAAGAGGAATAGTACTAGTACTACCCTACGGGTATGTTTACTGTCCTGCATTTTGCTGTCAAAATTGATTAATTGCTTGATTTTGAATTGATTTTACAGTCATTTTGGGAGGCTGTAGAAAATGAGCATTTTTATGGGAATGTGCAAACACCCACAGTTCAGCGCGAAAAATGTGCCACTTTTTCTTTGATGGGAACTTTGCTGTTTTCTACACCCTTGCTATGGTTTCGTGCAAAGAGTGCGTTTGGTGACGAACGTGGAATTATTGTTTTTTGTTGATTTTCAGTTCATGCTTTCAACATGAAGGTTGTGATTGCTACAGCCACGCTAGTATCATTAGTATGACAGTATGGTGATTAGTAGTAGTATTACGGTCATGATTATTCCTCGTCGTAGTCGCACACATTCGAACATGAACGTTATTATGGTTTGGGCATTGATGCTCTTGTGACCGTATGCGCTTGGAACATGAACGATATACAATATATTATGGTTTGGGCATGGATGCGCTGGATATCGCCTATGAACGTTATCATGGTTTGGGCATGGATGCAGTGGTAAGTGCATGCATTCGAACATTAACTTGATTATGGTTTGGGCATGGATGCTCTGCTGACCGTTGGCTCTTGGAATGCTAACTTTATCATGGCTTGGGCATGGATGCACTGGTAATCGCATGCCTTCGAACATGAACGTCATTATGATTTGGGCATGGATGCTCTTGTGATGGCATGCTCTTGGAACACGAATGAAATATTGGTTGGAGCATGGATGCTCTCTGGTGACCGTATGCTCTTGGAACACGAACGGAATTATGGTCTGCGCGTGGATGTTCTGGTGACCGAATGCAATCCAATAGAACTGTGCGTTTTGCTGGACGGAAAAGTAACCCGATGGTACTAGTACTAGCACTAGTACTACTGCTACGAGTACTAGTAGTAGTAGTAGTAGTACTACTAGTAGTACTAGTAATAGTACTAGTAATAGTACTAGTACTAGTACTTTTACTAGTACTATTATTATTACTAGTAGTCGTAGTAGTAGTAGTAGTAGTAGTAGTAATATTACTAGTAATAGTACTAGGAATAGGAACAGTAATAGTCAGAGTCATAGTAATAATCAGTTGATATGGGTTGATGTCTAGGCAGGTGTTGATGCCATCTGCATACCAGGACCCTCCCAACATCATCCGCATCCTTGCAGATGGAAGCACAACGCCGCTAGGCTATGCAGCGATGCTGCCTGGCAGCAATTGGTGCAACCCAGCGGAGAACCAAATTCCCATTGTGCATAACATGCTGTCTTAGTTGAGCTTCGGCTGCTTCCATAAAATGTTTGAGCTGACAATAAGAAGCCGGAAGCATGTTTGCGGTTCAGGTTTGGAGGCGATGCCCTGCTGGACTACCTCCTGGATGCTGGTGCAGATCCAGAGGCACAGTGCAGGAATGAACCAAGCTTAGCTGCATTCTGTTGATACTGTGCGAGAGCTGATGGCCATTAGGAGAGCCTGTTTGAATGCCCGGAGCCGGCACATTTGCTCTTTCAGGTCCCCAACAACAGGGGGGACACGCCACTGCAGCTGTCGCGCAGCCCGGCATCAGATCCAAGAGATTGGTTACAAGATTGACTGGCAAGGTGAAAGCAGCGTAGGCTTAATGTGTTTGGATCAGAATTTTGCTGTCCTGGCATGGTCGCATCTGTTGTGCTAAGCTGCAAGGTTCTATGAGATCTTCACAAGATTTGGTAACGTCCTCGACATTCGTGAATTAATCAAATACGAGATGCGTCTGAATACAGCCACATCTGTAGCTTTTCCAGCAGAATCGACCAAAGGCAACTTGCATTTTTTTATGAGTATGGCATCACACAAGAGCTGAATCAAAAGTCCATACCTTAATTAAACATTGATACCAGTGAAAGCCGAGACGAGCAATATAATTGCGGCATGTCAGTAAGGCATGATCTTGACTGGACAGTTGTAGCAGGGTCGGGTGGGGCTCGGGAAAGAAAAAGAGATAGGGCATTTGCTGATGACGTAACAAGACATGTTCTGGTTATGCAACTGATAGGACTGATACGGGGGCAATGCCACCAGGATGCGCGCATGATCGGTATTTCTTTGAAGGTGCAAAACCTGTCGGATTGTCCAAGCTGTCAGTATGATTGCGGCTTCGGCAGAAGCAATCTCAGGGCATGCGGCTGTCTACACCATCCTCTCCCATCGCTCGAACACTGGCTCTACAAGCGTGTCGCCGACGCAAAGCGGCCGCCCAACTGCAGCAACGTAAATTGATAGGTCGGCAGGTCCTAAGTTGTGCGACTCAATTGGCTTACGATAATCTGACAAGCATGTAGGAGCTATTAAAGCATTGACTTTACCATTAGCTTGTGGTAATAATAATGAAAATGATGGAAACAATAAAAATAGTAGAAAATAGTAATAATGGTAGTAATAGTCATATGGGAATAATAGTGATACTAGTCTTAATAGTAGTAACAGTAGCATTAGTAAAATTAGCAATAATAGTAATGAAAGTTATAAGAGTTCTAATAGAGATAAGAGTAATAAGAGTAGTAAGAGCAATAAGAGTAATCATAGTAGTAATTGTAATAAGAGTAATAACTGTAGTACTAGTAATAGTAGTAACAGTAGTGCTGGAAAGGCAGTCTGCCACTGTCTCCACGTGCTTCACCCTCAGCGCGCACGTCGCCGACCGACCTGCTTTCGCCAGTGTCTGAGAAAACTGTCCCTTGGCTAATAGTAATTAATCCCTAAACCCTATGGAAACCCTCAACCTAAGTAGTAGTTAGTTTCCATTTTCTTTTCCATTATCCCAATATTACCCCAATATTATCCTGAGAAAAGTGTCCCTTGGCTCGCTTGGTGACAGCATCAAAAGACTGGCTGTAACGTCAGGCAGCCGAGCGGCTTGCGAGCTCTTTGAAGTTCTTTTGGATCCAAATAATATACTATAGTGGTTTCCATTTTCTGGTCCATTATCCCCGTATATACCCCAATATACTATAGTAGTTTCCATTTTATTTTCCATTATCCCAATATAACCCCATATAAGCTTGCCAGCTTGCTTTCAGGCGGCTCTTATTCAAGTTCCACTCAATCCGAGTGTTGGACGCACGTCATATGATCCAATTGTGTCCTTCTTGAAAGCCCTTTCCACTTGCCAAGGCTTACGACGTGGCCAATGGAAACTTGTATCACGTCGTCAAATTGTCGAGCAACACCTCCATGATGGATGATATGAAGGATGCCCGTCTGCACAGCAGCCCGCATGCCTCTGCCCTGGGCTTGGGCCTCAGCTCAAAGATTCCAGGCAGCGGATGATTGCACTTCGCTACCTCAACAGCCTGGAGGGCCGCCAGGGGCTCTGCCAGTAGACCAGACGCGAAAACATATTATTCCCATCTAGGCTTAGGCCTTTGCCAAAGGCAGGGCCGAGGCTTCGCTACGCCGTCACTACACATTGCTTGCAGCTGCAGAGAGTTCTACTTTGTGTGCACTGCGCTTGGGCTGACGGACAGTATGACTTACGAATGATGTCGTGAAGCTTATTTGACTTCGGTGCCGAATTGGGGAGGCAGAACATGGTAGCTTCTAGCTGAAGTGCCGAAGGTCTTTGCTTTGGAGGTTGGGTGTCGGGGCCAGTTACTGGGTTAGCCACAGACAAGTAGGGTGCATGGCAAGCCAGATTCCACGTTGGAAGCTGAACTGGCCCGCCCAAGCTTGTGAAGTTTGCTGAAGAAAAGCTGAGCTAAGAGATGCTGCCTTGCAAGTAAGCTCATGACTTGTGACCAAAGCAGGCCAGACATCTTGAGCCCACATGGGTGGTTGTCAAAATTATGGTCCCTTTTTGGGTCCCTATTATAATACAGCACCTAATATTTAGGGTACCCAAAAAGGGACCATAATTTTGACAACCACCCACATTAGTCCAATATGCATCAAGTGGCGTGCGAGAAGGCATAGCCTAGATCTACTCAGAGGTGGCTCCTCGACGTTCAACGTTTGAGGATTTCTGAGAATGTGAAATAACTGACCCAACCTTGCTCAGTATGTAGTACTGGAGCAATATTAGGGTAATATAGGGGCTATATTGGGATAATGGCAAAACAATGTAAACTACTATTTAGGGTTCAGGGTTTAGGGAGTAATTACTGCATGGGTGTTGCACTGACTGTCCTGCTGGCCGTTCTGCCGCGCTAAGTTGCGGCTTTCTGAAGGAAGGCCGCCCATTTTGGGTGTTATTGGGTCTGTGCAACAGATGAGTGGTATTTTATTTGGGGGTATTATGATACCCAATATAGAGTAAGATTGTATCCTCCTTTTGGGTATAGTATCTTATACGAGGAATATTAATCTTACTAAAAAATGCTACTCAGATGTGTGTTGAGGTGTCCTTCTACTAAAGATCCTCTTTGCTCACAGGTAATCCCGCCGCTCTGATATCAAATACAGCCAAAATAATGTAACATACCACCTAATGGGAGCATTTAATATTGCAGAGGTGTGGGGGTTTGATATTAGGGGGAGGGGATTCACAGAAACCATGATCTGTGGCACAAACCCACCCCATGGGCACTGGAGGCGTTGCAGCTGAACAGCAAGAAGTACTTGGCAAGGAAACCAGCAGTATAGGGTTTCGTTGTGAGGGTTTAGGGTTAGGAAACCAGCAGTATAGGGTCTGATCCCGAAACTTCCTATATTCCATTGTGTTTTCCATTTGATTCTCCATGTTTGAATAAAGGAGTCAAACCATAAAGCTAGGCTAAGGCTGATAAGCAGTACTGTCAGCAGAGTTGAAGCAGCAGCATACTCAGAATTGGAATGAGAGACGCAGTGCTCTTGAACAGCACCTAGAAACAAGAGTCTGCGCTGTAGTAGCGCTAGAGTCAATTGTATTGCCTGGTACACTGTCGAATAGTAACAGCAGCAGTGAGTGAAGCGATGACTAAGCATACTGATGGTTGAAGAGGTTAGTATTAGTTTAAGTGACCTCGGCAATCATCCAGACATGAACATGGAAGAGCCAAACGAGCTTTCAAAATACTGCCGAGCATCCCTAGAAGTCTCTGAGCAGCAGGAGGCATGGTGGCAGAACACAAATTTTAGCACTGCGCTTTCAGGAAGGCGCCAATAGGCCTTGAAAGCATATGGGATTATCGCGAGATTAGGCGCCATTGCCAGGAAGCGAAGGTCGCGAGGGAGGTGAAAGCGAATTCCCCTGCAAGGGCCGCCCGGCCGGTGAAGCATGGGAGCGCCGCAGAACCCGGGCGCCATGGGGATGCAGCTGCCGAACCCTTTCACCCCCAACGCAAAACCCCCCCGGTGTAAGCTCTGTCTGCGGACGATGGGAAGTAATCAAAATGTTCGTGATGCTTGCTCGAAGAGCAAGACTGGTAGTTACAGCAATCATTCGCTCAAAAGCCAGAACAGTGAAAATTGCGCACTGATCATGGTGAGAATAGTATTTATTGCAGTCAGACTGGCGTGTAGAGGAACAGCAGCAGCAGTCACAACCGCGAAGCTAAAAACATCAGCAAGCGCACCGACAGCAGCAAGAGTAGTAAGAATGGCAACAAGAGGAAGTACAGTACTAATTCCTTCAACGGTATTGCCAAATATAGGAAAGAGTCCAAGTCTTGCCGATGCATGCCTCGCTGCTTTTTGTGCCCCGAATTTGTGCACGTCAGTGTTTTAGGCAGTTTAGCATCAGCGAAGTGGGACGGATGGGATTTTGTTGATCATGTTGGGCCGCGTGTTTTAAGCGCTGACTGGCCGTGCCTTCGGCACACTCTGACTATCGTCAATTCTGCGCTTGAGGGGAGGGATCTTGCACTACGTGCAACACCCGTGGAAGCGAGGCGGCGGAGAATCTCTTCTCACACTAGAGCGCTCTGAATCTGATTACCAAGGGTAAGTCATGAGTCATGCTTCAACTAGCAGCCCCGGCTTTAACATGTCAATCAGTCAAGTCACTTGCACAGCGGTAGCGGTGACGTTGTGGCTTTAAGCCGCAACAGCTAGTGTTAGATGTTCCGTACGCAGTGTTTTATGGCTGCTGCATGGGAGAAAACCTGACTGAGCTGCTGCAGTCCTGGTTTGTCCTGGGGAGCTCCACTTGGGCAAGCCAGGTTGTGCAACGTGATCCTTAGCGTGAAAGGTTGTAATGGTGTCTCCTGGCATTGATTTCGATGATGATCGCACGAGCCTTCGCGAGCGCAGCAATTGCATACATACTGTGCCTTACCTTCGCAGGTTTGCAAAGTCTGGGCTTGAGGAGAAGGCCATCCTGCAGATTTGATTGCAGAAGAACTCATGAAGAGTGCATTGCGTGTTCTGGCTGTGCACCTGTGCTGCTGGGCAGGTCAGATTCGCATTCATGATGTACGATGAAGAGCAAGAAGGGTGCGCCGGCTTGTAGGGGCAACCTGGGCAAGACAAAAGCATCAGACGGCCAACATCCTTTTGTAGAAGCCTGGACCCGCAGCCTGTCCAGCATCCAGGTCCGTGTCGCGTGAGGAGTTAGCAGACCTCCTCCGTGCTCTCTCGCCCTACATGCGCAGCCTGAAACTGAGACAGTGCAGGGCAACCGGGCAACCTAAGGGACGGGCTCCTCTGGCTCTTGGGAACGTTTGGCCGCAGGTGCTCATCGAGACGCGCATTTGGAGAGGCAGGGTTGTCAGCAAGCTTACATGCAAAGTTTCTGCGGTGCCCGCGCAGGATCTATGCCTTCCACAACTTGCACCCCAATTCTCGCGTTGCCTTTGACGAGATCATGGACCCTCCTGCATTCCATATGGCTTGTATGCCCAAGTCCAGGCATCAATGGCCCGAGCGAGCCCAGCCATTGATGTGCAGTCGTTTTGCCGTGGCTTCTAAAACGAACTGTGTTTGGTCCATTGCCGCTGCTTACTCAAGGCATCACCGAGGGCCTGGATCGCCAGCAAGTGTAGGAATGGCAGTTTGTCGTGGGCCAGGGGGCACCATGTCATAATTGTGGCTCGAACCTCGGAAAGATGCCGTTGCAAGAGGTGTAGAGTAGGAACGGCACGGCGCACAAATAATTTTGGCAAATGAAAGACTGTGTGACGACAGGCGGGGCAGTTTCAGCACATTGTGACCAGATTTCCTGGTTGGCGTGCTGTCTTGTGAGAAGATCGTTCTCAACCTTACGCAGCTGTTGGCTTGGAGGGAGGTCCAAGCAAGGGATGACTTCCCCCAGACCTGCAGGCAGCACGGCCACAAACTGTGATGGGGGGCAAAGGTGTGTTCGAAGATTCCTTCGAGCATAGCGCAATCGCATGTGTGAAGCCCTGGCTGTTTCAGTCCGAGTGAGTCATGACCCAGTAGACTCAAGCAAGAAGGCTGCTTCAATCGACATGACAACTGCAACTATTTTGAGTAGCACTAGCAGAGTTGTGAGAACTCGTCGAGCTGTGGATGTCTTTCAGCAAAGCTCTGCATTCATCAGCTTACCTAGACTCTAGCATCACAGGGCAACTTGTGCAGGCTGCTGAACGTCTGTGAGGCCTGGGCGCCAGTGCTTGTTTTTTTGAAAGTCAGCCCATCAAATCATTCCTGCATAATGGCTTAGTAGTCTGCTGAGTAAAAGTGGCTAACGAACGACAAGGGCTCAACATGTTCCATCATCACCTGGAATGCAAAACAGTTGACAGGTATCTGGTAGTTTCCCCAAGATAAGGGGACCCTAATATAGACCCAAATATACGATAATCCTTATTATGAGGCCCCCAAAATGGTACCACTAATTTTAGGAGACCCCCATCTGAAGAGGAACACCCTTTCAGCTGTTCCTACCTTGCTAAAGCAAAGTGGAGGCTGCCCTCCGAGACAGGTGAGAATATGAGCTATAGTCTAAACTCCTTAAAGGGGGTTATATGAGGGATTATATAGGGGGCTGCTATAGGGGTTATTAAGCGGGATACTAGGAGTTTAGACTATAGCTCATATAGAAGAATCTGCACTTTGCACTTGTAGGGCTGGGGGGTCTTGCAATTCATTTCCATTCTCATTCATTATTCTTATTTATTATTCTGATTTATTATTGATCTTCATTATTGATATTTATCATTCTTATTTATTCCTGTTATTTTATTTTTGATATTTTTCTATTGCTTTCTTATTGTTACTTATTGTTGTTATTTATATTACCCTCAGAAAGGATTTGGGCCAGGTCAATGGGCGATCGAAGCCGAAGCCGCAGCCGCAGGAGGCGCCGCGGATGCTCGCCATTTCCAGGATGCCAGAGATCATATATAGGGTTTAGGGTTTAGGGTTGAGGGTTTAGGGGTAGGGGGATTATATAATGGCGGGTTCTGATTAATAAGAACCCCCCTAACAATTGCGTGTCTAAATAGCCCAGGGGTGCCCAACCAATTGTCGGAATATTTGTTTGGGGGGTTCCAGCCCTGAACCCTAAGTCTTGAACTTTCAACACCGAACCTAGAAACCTAATCCCCAATCTCCAAACCTTGATGAACTCTTCTCTCTGTTTCTTGTTTTTTTTTCCTCTTTGGGCGTTTCAAGAAGAGAGCATGGAAATATTCCGTTCCTGTCTTGTTATTAATCCGTTCAGGCCCAGGTCAGCTCTATTCCATACCCTGTTTTTATTATTACGATCAGGCCCGGATTAGCTCTATTCCGACCTCATTTACTAGTTGGATATCGACATTAGGGATTATATAAGGATAATGGAAAAGAAAATGGAGATTACTATTTTAGCTACAGTCTAAACTCCTTATAGGGAGGTTATACAGGGTTTAGGATTTAGGATTTAGGGTTTAGGGTCTAAACTCCTTAAAGAGGGGTTGCGTAGGGGATTCTGTAGGGGAATATTATAGGGGTTATTAAGGGGGATACTAGGAGTTTATACTATGGTTCATGTCGTGGTCTATAAGGGTCTATACTGTATATGGTTTAGGGTTCAGGGTTTAGGGTTGGGGATGCAGGGGTTTCCCAAAATGTTTCCCAAAATCAGGTTCACGTTTTGGGGGGCTCCTGTGATAAAAGCTACAGTATCTTGGGATCCATGTTGGGGAGAACTATGATGGGAAACTAGCATATAAGGTTTAAGGATGGGATCCCAAGATTATGGAGATTGTAGGTTTTATAAAGGGTGAATGGAACACCTGGATGCTACGTGTTATTTAGGATTTAGGAATATTATCCCCAGATTACAGGATTCATATAGGATCACGGAGAAGATGATTGGGTTTAGGGTTCAGGAATCTTGCCCCGATAATCGAAAATCAACTAAAAAGAACATGGAGAATGAAATGGAAACTAGGAGTATATAGGGCTTCACAGGCAGAATGAAGACATCTACTGGACTGTCAGGCTGCGATTGTACCATCCCAACCTATTACAATTGATCTCTGAACCCCAGACACGCCGTGATGCCGTGGTTATTTGGCAGGGACAGCCGGGAGCGTCGGGAGGAGCGGAAGGACAGTCGCAGGCGGACGGAGAAGTCAATGAAGCTCAGGATAAGCCTCCAGCATCCGTGCCCGCATTTGCACGCATCATGCTCGCCAGATTTTTATCAATTCGATGAAGGCAAGTCGTCACGTATTGTTGCCAATTAGTACTGAGATGAACTCAATGCGCATCCAAGTGCTCTTTCGATCTGTAGGAATGGTTGTGGTAAACGCAGGGGAGAAGATCTCCCACATCGTTGGGGTGCCGAAGAAGTCGGAGTTACCGAGATATCGAGATCAAAGCTGGGCTTGACAGTTGTTGGTCTTGTCCCTTTGGGTGCTCCGGGTCTTGAGCGAATGACGGAATCCTCCGCTGGACCCTACTTGCTCTCTTGGCTGTTGATCCCCAAAAAGCAGTAGCGGGTGTTGCTTGTCGGGCAAAAGTCGCTTGAGCACTCGTTACACCTAGCATCACGGAGCAAGGCTGTGGGATTCGTAGGAACCGAACATGTTGGCCGCAGAAGAATTGGCCACTGGAGCGCTCATATTTCCAGGCACCCTTTCGAAATGTTCAATCCGGACTCTATGGGGCTGGCCATTTCCTTGCATGCTACCCGCTCCTTGAGGGCTACAACTGCACTCCATTCCCGCAAGGCGCGACGGCAACCGAAGCCGCAGTCGGAGCGGAAGCCAGGCTCGAATCTCTGCAAACGTGCTTTGACTCTGACTTGGCATGCTTGTGGACCATCCCGGTTGTCCATGCTTGAGCATAATTGCGTTTGACCGCTGAAGTCTGCTATTCTTTGCCACGCGCCGCAGCCGACTACTCTTATAGGACCCAAGCAGCAGCATCGCGCGTCAAGATATTTGCTATGCATCTCTTGCTCATCAGTCAGGTTAGGCACCGTTGTTCCGTTAGCCGAGACCATGACAGATGAAGCTGTGCCAGATGTGGCTGAGGAGCACAAAGAGGCCTTGACGCAAGAAAAAGTTTCAAGCTGGAGCCGTCAAACGAATGTGATAATTTCAGGCTGGGCCCGAGAGCCTGCGTGGCAAGCTTTGGCGCGCATTTCTTGCACATGGGAGGGCAATCCATGGCAAAGAGATGAAGGTCTGCTCCACAAGCTTCTGCTCTCAGAAGCTGCCTCACAAAGCCAAGCAGCTTGCACCAGGAAGCATGCGCATTCTACGACGCTGTGCGCAAAGATGCGCGAAGGTGCAACCCAGCCACTGTGTGAAGCTCAGTCTTATGATGTCTTATGAAAACATGTAGCTGCTTTAGGGGGGGGGAGTTTTTTGTCAACGGCCTTGAATGTTTGCTGCAGGCTCGGCAGGTGGGAGTGGATGTTTTGAAGCCGGTTGGGGGACCCTTAAACGCTTACACGTGGCACTTGTTCCTGGGAATTCCCATATGTGGTTCTGCGTAGTTCACTCATTAATGGTTGGTAGGTAGGAATGGATGGTGATTGTGACTGCCTTGTAGAAATATGCAGTTCTGCATTTCCATGGCAACCGCATGATGCTCCTACATGTTCCTGTGACAGTTTTGGAAACAGCAACGGACCGCTTGGTCCTGAAAGCTTTCCCATCTTCCCACCCTATAGTGACGGGGGGGGCTGCTGTTTGCGATATGCTTGGGAAGGGTTCGTTCGTATCGTACAGTCTGATCTGACGGGAAGATGAGGTTTGGTCGTATTGGCGGTTCTGTTTTGGGACGATGTGGAGGGGGGAGATCGTTCCGGGGAAGAGATGGGGCTCTCAAAAGATTTCTGCTCGACCCCATGCCTGAGCAGTACACTAAAACAGTTCGTTTTGCCACTACTGATCAAGTGAGTTCATGAACGTGCCACGTTGGAAGTCTCTAAAATGCTGTGTTTGTCTGTTTATCTATCTGTCCACATGTCAGTCAGTCAGTCAGTCTGTCTGTGCATCTGTCTGTCAGTGAGTCAGTGTTTATGCACCAGATAATCGCATATGTACGAACGACGTAGGTAGGTAGGTGAATAGGTCGGTTGGTAAGCAGGCAGTTGAAAGGCAGGTTGGTATGACTCTGCATGCATGTATCTTTGTATGTAAGTACCTGGGTAGGTCACGGGGTGGGAGGAGGGTGCAGGCAGGCAGCTAGCCAGCTGTGTAGCGATGTGTCAGTGACTATGTATCTATGCATTCAGTAGCCGACATGTTGACATTGTTGACGAGGTCGTGGATGTTTGTGGAGGACCCAGGGGCCACCAGTGTGTCAGACATGTCATACCCTACTCTTCGAAGGTTCTGACGAAATATGCCTTGAGCATCTCTAAGTCTCACAAGGTAGCCCTCATATGAGCTGTCGTCCAAACTCCTTGAAGGGGATTATATCAGGGATTAAAAGGGGACTACTGTAGCGGGTGTTAAGGGGGATGCTAAGAGTGTAGCTCATGTGGGGTGAGCGTCTAGGACTGGTCAACAGAGTTGCGTCAAAGGGGGAGGTTGCGGGGCCAGGGAGGGTTCACAAACCCGTCCTGTGTTTGATTTCTTGGGCGCCTTCCAATCCTCGAAAAAATGATGCACCAAAAAA